TAATGCCAAATTGGGTGCTTAGCCGGAGATTATGATATAATAACTGAACCTCTGGTATCTCATGTCCAATTTGCATACGACAACAATGCTCTGGATGACCAATATTTACTTTGAATTCTCATTACTCCACTGTAGCTGTTCTACTGGTAAAACCCCTATATTGACAGGTTTACGAGCTCGGAATAAGTAGGTATCGACATGCTATAGTTAATTGATTCTGGTGAATAGATCAGTTCACAATTGGAAGTCAAATATAATCAATCTTCAGTGGATACTACTGTTGGACATTGATAATACTTGTGAGAGTTTTGCTCCCGAATACGTCTATGAACTTGATGACAATTTGCAAATCATTCACAAAATAAGCACTATTAATGGGAAAATTAATATATACGTATTTTTTGTAAGTTCATATTTCACTTCCGAAAATAATAAATAAATGAGGAACTTTGCTCCTCCACCATTCCTATGACTTACTTTCTGAAAATCCACATTGACACAGAGTTAGAATATGATTCACATGTTTATATGCATCAATTGTTTATATAGTGTTGTCTACTGAGACTTCCAAGTACTTGCATGACTTACTCATCAAAAGATCTAAAATTCATACAGCAAATGTTTGAGATGCTGATTCATTTACTATACCCCAACATCGTTCATCCAAATTCCGAGGTTGCTTTGGATATATTACACCTACGATGATAAATATGTATGAAAATTTGTTCAGTGGTACTCTAAATATGAAAATGTTCAAAAAATTATTCAAACTGCATATACTATCAATGAACCAATAATATGCACTGTATAATCATAGTTTTGTCTCCAACTTGTTATTTTTATTTTTATTTTTAATCTTATTATTCATGTGTCAAATATGGAAAATGGCTTGCCAACTATTTGCCTTTTGAAGTACAATGATATTTAAACACATGTATTCTTGTTATTTTTTAATTCAATAAACATTTTCATCATTATTATTATTAATATTACCTGTGCCAGTACGACGTGGCCGACATCATCAGTGTGTCTAGATTTCCTAAAATTATTCTTTGAATGCATAATAATTATTTCATAATAGCAATGGGATATGATAGGTTCTTCAATCCTATTTTGTCAAGTATTATGAATAATTCCCATAAATCTCTCATTGGCTGCGATAGTATCTATAATTGTTCACTATCGTTATCAATATGTTTTTCATAACTTGTCAGTAATTTTTTTGCTAATGAATTCGTTCCTTAATGAAACGGATCTATTTTCTAGGAAAGATATACCCCATCCTGCTTCAAAAGGGGCAGGAAATACTAATTCCACATTTGTGTCGTATATTCAAGGCTTGTATAGCAATACGATATATACCCATAGTATGGCAGAAGGTGACAGTCATCTACCTTCCCAAAGTGGGAAAGGTGGGTGACAAAACGCCAAAATCATACCGCCCAATAAGTCTAATGTCGTTCCTGCTCAAAACGCTGGAAAGACTGATAGACAGATACATAAGAGACGAGGTATTACAAAGAAACCCGCTCAACGAACGCCAATATGCGTATCAGCCAGGCAAGTCAACTGACTTAGCACTGGATGATCTGAACAGGCTACTCGCAAAGTCGATAGAGGACAAAGAAATAGCTATAACAACATTCGTAGACATAGAAGGTGCTTTCAATAACGCATCAACAAATTCTATAATTAATGCCCTAGCAAGGAAAGGAGTACCGCTACTCCTGTGCCAGTGGATAAATGTCAATTTGAAAAATAGGGTTATCATATCCACAATTGGCGAGACAACTCTGACAGCTAGAGCAGATAGGGGATGCCCACAGGGAGGAGTATTATCGCCCCTACTATGGGCCATTCTAATGGACGAACTGATCAAAAGGCTAACATCCAAAGGGTATTATTGCTTAGGATATGCCGACGACCTGGCGGTTATCGCTAGAGGTAGATTCGCAAGTACGGTCTCGGAGCTCACACAAATCGCTCTTAACATAATTGACAATTGGTGTAAAGAGGAGGAACTCACCGTGAACCCTCATAAAACCACTATAGTGAATTTCACGAAAAAGAGAGTACTGGAAGGATTAAAGTCACCAGTACTCAACGGGGTAGAAATTCCGTTCGCCCTAGAGGCAAAATACTTAGGAGTCATCTTTGACCATAAGTTAACATGGAATCAACACCAACAAAAAATTGTTCAAAAAAGTACAGTAGCCTTCAATCTGTGCAGACGAATGTGCGGGAAAAATTGGGGACTGCAACCAAAAATGACCACATGGCTCTATGCCAGCGTCATCAGGCCTATGATAGCATATGGGTCAGTAGTTTGGTGGCCAAAGACACAACAGGCTGGAGTGATTCGAAGGCTCAGTGCTATTCAAAGGCAAGCTTGCCTGAGTGCCACTGGTGCAATGAAAACCACTCCAACAGCCGCTTTAGAGGTCCTCTTGAACCTACCACCACTACAAATATATATTCGAGGCGAAGCCAGAGCAGTCGTGAGTAGATTGTCAAGGGGTCAAGCACCCATAAGCAACGCGCACGGTAAAGACTATAGAAAGCTATATGAAGAGTTGGAAAGCGACCCCATCATGGGAATGCCAACGGATGGCATAATTCCAAAATATAGCTTTGAAAAAACTTTTAAAATAAGTATAACGGACAGAGAGGCATGGAAGGAAGGACCTCCTATCAATGCAGACATTGCTGTCTATACGGACGGCTCCAAAACTGAGTTTGGATCAGGAGCTGGTATTTATGGGGCCAAGCCAAAGACAAGAATCTCATTGAGCTTAGGTAAATACGCGACGGTGTTTCAGGCAGAAATTATTGCAATACATCATTGCGTGAAAGAATTGATAAGGCAAGAGTTTAAAGGCAAAACCATTGCAATCTATTCAGATAGCCAGGCGGCAATCAAAGCAGTCAACTCTATGCAAGTTAACTCAAAACTAGTATGGGACTGCTTAGAAACCCTAAATGCACTGGGCAGTCAGAACAGACTGACTCTAGCATGGGTACCAGCACATACAGGGTACGAGGGCAATGAAGAGGCAGACTCACTTGCCCGAGCAGGTGCAAACAAAGCTCTGAATGGCCCAGAACCCTTCTGTGGTATTGCGAAAGCTATACAAAAGACTAGTATCAAATCATGGATGCAAACCAAATCTCAAGAATGGTGGAACAAATCGCCAGGAATGAGACAGGCAAAAGAGTTTATTGAAAAACCATCGCCAACATTCACAGAATATCTACTAAGCCAGAAACGAAGTTCAACTAGAATACTAGTGGGACTTCTCACAGGGCATTGTAGGCTCAACAAACACATGAGTACGATAGGTCTGACTGAAGAACTGCTGTGCAGGTTCTGTCAGGAAGAGGAGGAAACAGCAGTACACATACTTTGCCACTGTGAGGGCTTGTCAAGACTAAGGTTCCTTACGCTGGGTGAGGAAAAACCAGAAGCCCAGAGATACACAGGGGATCTGAAAGCTAGCCTATGGAGTCTCATAGAGAAGACGGGGCTAGCCGAAGAACTCTAATCGATTGATTTTGAGGGCAGACACAATAGATCTGAAAAGGTCGCGGTGTGGAGGCAGATAGCCCGAAGGCCCCATTCTAAATCTAATCTAATCTAATCTAGGAAAGATGCAGATCATAACTTGCAACAGCGCCTAATTTTTCGAGTCCGTTCTCACCACTCAAAATACTGACAGGCACAACACGCTGAAGAAGCCATATGAGTGTCGGCTTCATTCTGTTCTGACCGATGGCAGTGAATTAGGAAGGACAGTATCATTGAATGTAGCCGATAGTGATTCATTGATTCAATGATGTTTCGGTTTAGGATCGAGCTCTATTCTATAACGAAACCATAACCTGTCAGAATGAAGCCAAATACCCTCTGCATTCCTGCTCCGAGTGTATTTGTGGTTATGTATGTTTTTGTTCACCAGTTTTACTTCTTCAATTTTTTTCATTCGTTTTTCATTCGTTAGCTCTTTGTTAGTTATTCGCTAGCTATATTCTTCACCACCAGCTATTTTCAGACTAGATTCAGAATGTAGAGTCCGACCACGTTAACTTTGGAACACCACATGACGCAACGCTTATGTATATCCAATGAATTCGTGACCACGGGCTGTCCCAAAGTCATCGTGGTCGGACTCTACGTCACAGTTTGCCGGTCCGAAAATCAAAAAGTGCTTCAATTTGAAAATGAAAACGACTTGGACTTCATCGGTCGCCATTCTGTAGAGCGTGGACATAAAACTGGAAACGTCACGGAACACCATGGAAGTGTTCCGTAACATTCTCGTTGTGTTCCGTGACATTCTCGTGGTGTTCAGTGATGCGGTTAGTGGGCGTGACCTCCAACCAAATGCTGTCCTCTGATTAGCTAATCGGGTCACGTGGTTTGGAGAAAAGTGGAGGGGAAGGGCTGAACTGAAGAGCCGGACTACCTACTCAGCGGAGAACATATTATGTTAACATAGTAGTCAATTAGAGATCAGTAGGGCAGAATATTCAACTATTCAGGAATTACCGGGAATTACCAAGGAAGGGAGCTTTGAGACGAAGATGCAAGAGAATTGGGTTCGGAATCTCGTACGTTAGGCGTTGTCGGACTTCAGGATTTCAGAACCATATTATAGGGTTATTTAGCCTAAGGCGCTAAACGTCGTGATGTTGGGTTAACTGGGGAAAACGTGGGTTGTAGTGGTGGGCACAGATAATTTAGTAAATATTGTAAAGAGAGGGGTTCGTTTTAAAGTTTTAGCCCTGGAAACTCATACGAGAGATAATTAATTCCAATTTATTATAGAAAGTTGTTACGGGCAACTCAGTTTTTACTATCTAGTCCTAATCCTTACTACTCTTACCTTGTTTCTATCCCAATTACAATATTTCAAAACACTTTCATATCGATCATGATAGTCAGAAACAACTCAATTACATCATAAGTTGAATTGGATGAGTTGTTTGATTATTGAGGAGTTGAATAAAACAAAACCTGTTTTGTATCAAAGATGATTTATGGTGACTTATCTCTAACAAGGATGAATCAAAACAAACACAATTTTTATTCTTGCTGACTTATCATTAATCTTTGGGGTATAGTCTCCTTCCAGTGCAAATTCGGCAAGCATCATCTGTTCGTTGGCTCAGGAACAGAAGGTGGTGATTATTTTTCCAATGGGTTCTCTATTTTGCCAACAAATAAGATCGTTCCTGTTCTTTCATCTTCTATATGGAACATGAAGGGATGGGATGCATCGAACAAAGGTCTAGCGTACTGTGCAAATCTATTATCGAGACTCACTTCTGAAAAATCAAAGCAATATATATTATATTTTGGGTATTTCAAAATGTAATCCCTCCAGGGTAAGTTGATAGGTACTCGTCATAATATGGAAAAGAGTATTGCTCCTATCGTGGAATATGCAGTTAGTAACAAAGCCTACACATAACACATATGAACTAGGGGGTTTCACAAGAAATCTATAGGCAGTTGATGTATAGGTGAATACATAGTTTCCCTACTACTTATCGAATGGAATTTTGATTTAATTTAAAATCCTTCATTTAAATCTTGAATTACAACCAGTATAACGAAATACGTGAAGCAATTCGTACCGGATGATGAACACATATTTTTTATATTGAATATAATAAAGCATGTCACAATATTATGATTTACTCAGTTTTCATCGTGAAAACACCTCTTTCAGATTATTTTCTCTCGTTCTGCTACGAATATGAATGATTACATTAGATTTAATGGAATTTCGTGTTTAAGGATGCCCAAATGGAGCAAAACAGAATAAACTTCCTCCATTTTTGAGGGTTCATTTTTAATAATTAATATACCACCTTCGAGTACCTACTGAATAATAATAATAAAATGATTTTATTGAGCCAGCATAAATGTACAACAGGTATTGTTATACATATATGTTTCTCAAACGGCAGAGTTCAATTTCACGATTAGATCGCAAATTGATCTTTCACTCAACCGTAATAAGGAGTTCATCCATTGATATGAATGAGCTCCTTCCTATTCTAAATATTTATGTACATTTCCTAAATAGTTATGATATTATTCTATACATACATAATATTCACACAAACCTTTACACAAGTTCTATTTTTTCAAATTGAAGTTGGGGTTATCAAACAAATACTTTTTCATTTGTTTCTTGAAGTTTGGGAGGCTACTGCTATTGAATTCGAATGGAATTTTATTGAGAATTTGGGTGATTTGGAAAGAGAAAGAAGATCTGAACTGCACAGTTTTATGGATAGGTAGTGTTAACGAAGCTTTATGTCATTCAGATTATGAACATCTGTCCTAAATTTTATTTTTCTGTGAAGGTATTTTGGTTTCTGTGAGATTATTATTTTCTGAAAAAATAAAGAGGAATGTAGAAGCCTTCTATTCTTCATGCTGAGCCATCCGATATCCCTTAGATTATCCGAAACATGAGCTCGTCTGCTCAAGCCACATATGAATCGGTCGCATGAATTTTGCAATTTCTGAATGCGGAAGCTATCAGTACTATTAAGGGCAGGGCCATAAACAACATCTGCATAGTTGAGATGAGACAGCACCAGAGCTCCACACGGGATAATTCTTAGTTTTCTGCTCAGAATGGACCGATTAGCATAAAGGTTTTTCAGATTGCTATCGAGAACAACACCTAAATTGTTCGCACTGTCACTCACAGAAATCTGTATCAACCACAATATTGACTAGCTCCAAGCATCTATTTCGCGAAGCTGCGCTACCAAAGAGCAGTACCTTCGATTTCAAGGGGTTAATGCTTAGGCAAAATTTATTTGAGAGTGCAATTAGCGAACAGAGATCTTCGTTAATGAAATTACAAGCTTCGATGATGTTTTCTTCTTTGAAAGAGAAGTAAATTTGTGTGTCGTCCGCATAGAAGTGAGAATTGCAATATTTCAGACATTTGGAAATCTCGTGAGTGTAAATTATAAAGAGCAATCTTGGAAATAAAATGTTGCGTTTTTTTTTCGGAAAAAAATAAATGATCACAGTTTACAATCAAGACAAAATGAGAATTATGTTCTGAATATTCTAGATAATTCTGTAGCTTCATTGTTCACGGAATTATCAAAATTGTCGCTATTATCGATTTTATCGATATTATCAATAACTTTTTATGAATTATCGATGTTGTCGATATTTTTGCAATTATCACCCGAAAAGGAACTGTGGCTACGGGTATAAAAGCGAACTGCATATTACATTCCAAATAAAAAGATAGTAGGTGGCGCTTCGTCTGAAGTAATGTTAAAACTGACAAAATAAATGTATGACGCCTAATCCAAAATGGTGGTGGTGGGTGTAGCTTTTTATATCCATGTAAGAACATACAGGGCGTCCCACATACCATGCTCACCATCTTTTAAACATTGAGAGATACGAGGTCGGTTAAATGACACCAAATGTGGAGTTTGTCAGGGCCAACTATAATGTGAAAAAATATTTTGATAAAATCTATTCGTTTTATACGCAAAAAACAGATTTTGATCATTTTCATGTCTCCTCCGTAACTTCTTCATTAATAAAAATATTCAAATAGGAATCTCACATCCTCATGGCAGTTTTTCAAAGTGATTTCGAAAAAAATATGAAATTTATACCAACTCTTCTAGAATTTGAGATATCAGCACCAACTTTGGTTTCTCAAATGTAGGTCATAGCTCACTATGACTTAGTTACAAATAACTTTTTTTTCTCTTCCAGATGATATGTCGCAGTAATAGTTTTGTGTTGATAACAACGGAGTTATCGTTATTTATACAAGAACAAAAAATTATTTGGAAGCCGCCATCTTGAATTTATAGATTTTAACAAAAAAATCATGAACTCCGATCTCAAAAACCCCCACTCACCAATTTTGAATGGAATCGGACCAAATCTTGTCCGCCATCATGGAGCAGCCATTTTTTTTAATTTCAACAAAAATTCCATAATGTATTGTCACCGAAATTATGAACACCTGAAAAATTTAAAGTTAATCGGAGTTATGGAACTTTTGTTGAAATTGAAAAAAATTGCTGCTCCAAGATGGCGGACAAGATTTGGTCCGATTCCATTCAAAATTGGTAAGTGGGGGTTTTTGAGGTCGGAGTTCATGATTTTTTTTGTTAAAATCTATAAATTCAAGATGGCGGCTTCCAAATAATTTTTTGTTCTTGTATAAATAACGATAACTCCGTTGTTATCAACACAAAACTATTATTACGACATATCATCTGGAAGAGAAAAAAAAGTTATTTGTAACTAAGTCATAGTGAGCTATGACCTACATTTGAGAAACCAAAGTTGGTGCTGATATCTCAAATTCTAGAAGAGTTGGTATAAATTTCATTTTCTTTTCGAAATCACTTTGAAAAACTGCCATGAGAATGTGAAATTCCTATTTGAATATTTCCATTAATGAAGAAGTTACGGAGGAGACATGAAAATGATCAAAATCTGTTTTTTGCGTATAAAACGAATAGATTTTATCAAAATATTTTTTCACATTATACCTAGTTGGCCCTGACAAACTCCACATTTGGTGTCATTTAACCGACCTCGTATCTCTCACCGTTTAAAAGATACCCATGCATGCTAAGTGGGACACACTGTATATATAATCTTATCTTGGACAATTTCACTAGCTCTAAGTAATGTTGTAGGATTTTCAATATATTTGGCTGATGATGGGCTTATGATAGGCCCGAAACATGCCCCACCCCCAATTGTAACATTTTTTTCATTAAAAATCGAGGAGATGACTCTGATATTTTCCTTCCTTCAATTACCACCACTACACTTTGAGCATTATGGACTTCTACACATTATCAAAGATAACTCACCAGAAGCAGCATAGGCAACACTGCCTTCCTCATCTATCGCTATTCCAGACTTTTGAATTATATCTGATACCACCAACTGCCTCGTAGTGTTGTCCCTGGCTATTCCAGGAAAACTGGCCGTGTTTTGAAACATTTGCATGAGGCCGAACTGAAATCAGGACACGAAGTTTTCTGTTACCCGTATACCTTTGTTAAAGTGCAAACAACATTTCAAACTGATGAAATGGTTAGAATTAATTGATTATTTGTTCAATCAACACACAGGGAACTATGGAGCAGAGTTAGTTAGTGTTGAATTGAGATCACATACCAATTATTTTATGTTCAATTATTGAAATCATTATTATAACTTTTGTAAAAATATACATTTTGTGAAAAAAAATGTATGTTGATGTGTTGGGCGTTTGTTCATATAACTGAAAAATTGGATGCTTGGTAATTAAAATTTTGCATTTTCTGTCATTGATTTATGTCGAACGTGTTTGATTTGTTTAGAGAATATTCGCAAACTCATTATTGACTACCTAGGTGAAATTTTTCGTACATCAATATGAAAAATCACACTTTTCTAGAAAACGGTTTTTTTCATTTCCACACTTTTATTAGCTTTGTATGTATATGTTAGTGTATTTTTTCTATTTTGCGTCTTTGATGAACTAATTATAACACCCAAATGCGTATCGAAACAGCTTCTATTTGGACACGCTGAATTTCTTTTCCAAAGTTGGTAATGTTGATGTCAAACTGTCAGAAGTGTCCAATACACAGAACACATAAGCGTCTAGAGACAAGGCGCAATAAATAATCCATGCTGCAGAACGATGTTTAAATGAATGTTCCACATATTAAGGTGAGTTCCCAATGCAGCGTTTATGCTTTACGCGTCGAGCGTCATATGTAACCTGATTGGTGACGCTGGATTTGAAAAATATTAGACGCGATGAAGTTAAAATATTTTAACTTTTTGGCGTTGCTGCTTTGTGTTGCGTTTAGGTTATGTTTCAGAAACCTACATATTCATCAAAGCAATATCAATTCTTTCAACACAAGATTTTTCACAAACGAAAATATTTCCACAAAATTCTTAAATACACAACATGTTTTGCTAACACAGTAGCTTCGTCAGGTGATATACTGGGTACAATTAACATTTCATTGTACCTGTATATCACCTGACGAAGCTACTGTGTTAGCGAAACATGTTGTGTATTTAAGAATTTTGTGGAAATCTTATCGTTTGTGAAGTCTTTACATTTGCCATGGATTTCCATCAAGTAACGGCCGAGTCAATTTAAGAAAAAAAAAACAAGATTTTTCATGAAAATGTAGAAATTTTGAATGCAACTTCATTAAACTCTCATTTCAGGAAGTGATCTCATGAAAAGTACATCATTGCAGTATCCCTGAAGTAGGTACCTACCTGATTATCTCATTTTCACTATGCTATTTTCGTTTTTCGATGAATTAATTATCTCATGCCGCTCTGTATATCTTGCAAGCATTATCCAATATTCTCAATATTCTCATATATTCTCATGATTTTCCAATTTCATTGGAACTGCAGTAAATGATGAAAAACAGTGCAGCAAGTGACGCGTGACGCGTAAATCAAAAAAATTGCATTGCACGTGATTTTGATCCACTTCAAATCGTCCAATTGAATTGGAACTTTGCTCACTTATCAAGAACCGATGACAATAGCATGAATTATCAGTTTCGTTCTATTATCCTGCTCAGGAACTTCAAGGTGAGCGATTTTTTTTCTCGAATAAAATGGTGAATGATAATCCGCCACCAAAATTTCTAATGTTCCGTCACCAAAATTTCAAATGTATGTTTTTATTTCTTCCCAGAGAACACCAACCATCGGCCCAGCATCTGTAACGCACACCTCTACCGACAGTTCATGTACTTTCCCGGCGTCGAGGTGTCCAGGCGGCCGCCAGCCGGCCGTAATACACATTACCGGCGATTGAATTATTGACTCAGAAGTGCTACAGTGGCATCAATGCACCATTGATGGGAGCACTCAGCCACCAACGCATATGCGTTTGCAAATCCGTTTCAAGGAGAATGAGTTTTTCGAGTAGTTTTTCCAAGTAGGTATCTGACCGTGAACTATGATTTTTTTATGTTCTGGTTCTCACGAAAAGGGATATCCTCTAATGTTCAGAGAACATCGTGAGAACCAAGGGAAATAAGGTACGAATTGGTGTTCTTCTTAAATTTCTGGAGGTTATATACTTTGGGAAACACCTCCGTTGGCAATGTGTTCCAGAGCCTTGCTGTTCATTGGATGAACGAGTCTTTGGAAAGAGATGTTCTGCAGGTCTCCAAAGTGAGCACGAAGGGGTGCGAAGCCTCAACTCGACGGGTTAATCTCGCGGCGACTGCCAAGGGAGGAACAATTGTTGTTGTTATTTCAGAAGAGCATCGTCTATAAAAATATCTATAAAATAGAGCCAGATCGACAACTTTTTTACGGTGTTCCAGATCAGTGAGTAAGTTTGTGAGCGAGGCATCACCCACGAGACGAATTCCCCTTTTTTGCTGATAGTAATACCAAGCATCGAAATGGATGTCTTCAAAGGTATGGTTACTCCTGAAAAGCTTATGTTGGGCACAGTGAGATCGGCTTTTCAAGAGGAAAGGCATGCTTGTGTTTTATTTGCATTGAATTCTACCAAGTTATTGGATCCCCATTCGAGAATTGTTGCCAAGTCCATATTTATGTTGTCAACATTTCTCCTTCGTTCATTTCTGATTCGCCTGGCTGGTATTGGAGCCCTGGAAGAGAAGGCGGTATCATCCGCGAAGCTGTGTACTGGACATGAAGTTGTGCTAGAATTGATCCTTGCGGAACACCAGCATTTATGATAAGAGAGTCAGATGAAACTCCGTCGACCACTACATCGAGAGACCTGTTTGAGAGAAAACTAGCTAGCAGAGAACATAGCTGGGGAGGCAAGCCATAAGATGGAAGCTTGGCGAGGAGTCCGTCGTGCCAGACTCGATCGAATGCCTTGAAGATATCTCTCAAGCTTCACAAGTGAACCATGACGTCATAATAAAGTTACCGTGACGTCATAATAAAGGCACCTGGTTTGTCTGGTTAGTTTCGGCATGTTTCGAGAAAGAAAGTCTATAGTCAAGAATCAATTGAAGTAGAAATTATCCATTTCAGACGCCAAATATGAGCAGAATATTGACTCAATTAGTGGCTGATGAATGACTTCAACTCAATGAATCATAATTACGAAACTATTACTGAATATAAATGATAGTCTCTTGAGCCATAGGGCACGTGACTGAAAATGGAGGTTAGGCTGATACTCACATTTCGAAGTGTCTGTCCCAACTTTGCTTGGAAGTCAAATTTGAATTTTGGCAACCGGACATCAACTGACTGTAAGTCCAAGGTGAACATGGCATCTTTCAAACTGTTAATATTGATACTCTTCATCAAATTTGGAAGGCCACCTCTGGAATTCGGCAACACAATAAACATAGAGTATCGTCCACCCTACAAATAAAGATCATACAGGGTGGAGACTTCAACTGGAATCAGTTCGCTACTGGGGGAGTGAATGATTTTTATGAAAATTCGCGAGACACGTCAACGTTTGAATGTATTTACCTACATTTGGCGAGTAATATTGAGGATGAAACTCTTCAGGGGTAGCTGGAATCAACCCAAAAATTTTTTTTTCATTGCAACCCTATGGCTTGCGACCCCTCATTGGAAAGCTGATTGAAAGAGGAATCCAGCGGACTGATCATATTCAAGTTTGCAGTACGTTTGGGGGTCGTATGAAATCAAAATATAATTTCGAAGTCTAATATATTTTCAACGTATTTTCATCACAATTTCGACTTTTTGTGAAAGGGTGATATAGCGTTTTCAACCCAATTTGCAATAACACTTCGTTTCGAACTGTGAATGCAGCAAAAACATTTTTTTTGGGGCTTTATTAAAACACGTGTATACAATAGCAGATAGCAGTTGTGTCGAAAAATTGTCATCAAATATTCATAACACATTTTGAGCTATGAATACGTTGAAGAAGAAATGGATTTCAAAATTACATTTCAATTTTGTGCAACTTTCAAACGTATGGAAAAGTATTATTCGACTAGTACGCTGGATTCCTCTTTCCAACAGCTTTCCAGTGAGAGGGCACAAGCCATAGGATATTCGAAAAAATCTTGTTGAAGGTGGTTTCAGCTTTCCCTTGAGGGATAAATTCTCGATATTGCTTGCAAAAGGTAGGTAAATACATTGAATCGTTGACGTATGCCAGGAATTTTCAGAAAAAATATGCACCTCTTCGCTAACGAGTTCATTCCATCAGTTAAAGTCTTCACACTGTTATTCAAAATGAATTATGTTCGAAACGGTAGTTGTGTTTGGGAGATGGTCTTCATTTTGCATAACGTAGAACTCTTGTGCAAGAGTATACTAAGAACATTCATGTATGCATAGAGTGGAACTGTGAAATCAAGATAAGGTCCAGCAAAAACAGCAATAAAGACCCCCCCCCCCAATACTTAATCGAGGAGGTGGTACATTCATTATTCCAGATTTGTTTTTATTTTCTCTCCTCGTCTCTATAAAATAAAAATATGAATACTATTTCATTATATACGTGTAGTTAGGACAAATCAGATGATTTGCTCCAAAATGTCACTGCGTTTGAATAATTTCCCTATCAGAGAGCCTGAAGGAAAAATTCACTAGCTTGTCAGTGACAATTTGTATTGAAAAAGGTCTGGAGAAGAGAAATGAAGGTATATAGAAAAAATATCGAATGTTTACTTATCTTTGGACGTTTCGGGAACGAATCTGCTCTCGTTTTCAACATAAAAATGGATTTTTTGTGGCAAATTCGTATTTGTCCGGACACTTTTCAGTTCTCAGTGACAATTGGTGACGTTGGCAATCAAATGAGTTACAGGATGTTTTCATTAATTTATTTTGAATTCACCATTTTCATCTTCAGATTTCAATAGTGAATAGGAAGCAATGCTATTGTCTCCGTTCAGAAGAATGCAAACAGATTAATTGATTTTTCCCTTCTGATTGTTATTTTCTTTTCCAATGATTTAAATATTATTTCACTCTGCCATATGTTGTCCATCTTCAGTTAGGAGGGGGCCAGGTAGCCGTGCGGACAGAATGTCAATATTCTAATCCGCACTCGCTTGCCGGTCGTGGGTTCGATTCCCATCGACTGCAGAAATTTTTCTGATGGCCCAAGAAAGTGTTTGGGATCACACGTTCAAAGGTAAGACCCCCGTCATTTTATTCTCGCACAAGACTCTCGAAGAACTCTGAGGGTTGCTCGTAAGGGGGCAACCGAATGACGGATAGAATAATTTAAAACATTTTTTTTTAACTTGGTTTCACCTGTATGAAACTGTTGAATATAAAGAAAAATCACCTTGTAGTTCAGTCGAAAATGAAAAATGTCAGAGTGACTGTTTTTATAATTCATGTAAACGTCTTTACTTTGTGCTTGTAATTCTTTATATAATAAAGCCACGATACATTTTTACGAAGTCCACGGTTGTAGTTTGTACTGTATACAAGGAGTAGCTTTATCAGGTTATGGGCCCAGATCGCCAATAACTGAAAATTGTGAATCAGTACGTAACCGATTGTCAGTAAGGAATGGATTTCAAAACCCAAATCGAAAAATTGGAGGGTGCTTCCAATTGGACAAAGTGGAGACGACAAGTTGAATTGCTGTTGTTGCATCATGATGTACATGATTTGATAACCGAAGTTTTCACTCATAATGTTTTGGGAGAAGAAGTAAGTGCTGAAACCCGCAAAGAGCATGAAGCAAGAATCAAAACTTTTAAGAAAGCTGATGCCTTAGCTCAACTCATTCTAGTTAGTTGTATGAACAATGCGAATATTGAACTTACTGCTACAGCAAGTACTTCCAAGGAAATATGGGATAAACTGTTATCAGTGTACGAACAAAGTTCTGGTCAGCGAGTAGATAGGCTGATGGAGCAGTTTTTCAGCAGCGAGAAAATACAGTCTGAAGATATTGCCACGCATATAGGGCGATATCAACGAAATTTTCACGAACTCAACGATGAATTGAAGAGATTGGCAAAGACCGAGTTGCCTGATTTATTGCTAATGAGCAGAATAATGTCGACATTACCTGCTGAGTATTTTGAGTTCAAGAGCGTTTGGGAATCAGTACCAGTTAATGACCGCACTATTAACCTATTGATAGAACGGCTCCGACTCATTGAAATGCGACTACCGTCAAAATGCAATGAATCATCTGCACTTTTTGCAAACTCCGGTAAGAAGTTCGTTGAAAAAGGGAGTGAAAAGCCTGAACGAAAGTGTTTCAAGTGTCACGAGGTTGGTCATTTTGCAAGAGACTGCCCAAAGCGAAAATCAAGTCAGCAAGTGTTAAAACCATCCAGAAATACCAAGAAACAAACTGGATCGAATGGTGAAGCTTTTATTTCTGGCATTTTCGATCAGAACAATACCGTTGTATGGCTTGCTGATTCGGGTGCCTCAGCACATATGACAAAACATAAAAAATATTTCCTTACCTATGAATCATTTACTATTCCAAAGGAAATTCAAGTTGGCGACAGTAAGATAATTTATGCATACGGAAAAGGTATCATAAATGTAGAAATGGAAGTCAATGGAATATGGTATCATAACCACTTAGATAGTGTGTGGTATGTTCCAGAGATTAGCAGGAATTTATTCTCTATCGGCCAATCCATGGATAGAGGTTTCAATTTCGAAGCTAGTCGTTATGGTTGCACGATTTCAAGAGGAGGTACTATCAAATTGACTGGAAGAAGAAATTCAAAAGGGCTCTATGAATTGAATATGCGAGTTTGTATACCTGAAACCATTGCCGAGGTATTTGTTGCGTCAAAGGAGGAAACTTTACAACTTTGGCATGAGCGATTGTGTCACCAAAACAAACGTCATGTCATGGAAATCCTGAAGCAATATAATATTCAAGTAGAAGCTCATGAGGAATTTTGCGAAGGTTGTATATTCGGTAAGCAGCACAGAGCTAGCTTCAGACAAAGGCCGAATAGACCTATGATAGCAGGAGAGCTGATTCATGCCGATGTCTGCGGACCCATGCAGGAAGAATCAATCGGAGGGGCTAAATATTTCTTGTGTTTCAAGGATGACTATTCAAAGTATCGTCGAGTATTTTTCTTGAAGTCGAAAGCTGAAGTTTCTGAATCTTTGAAAGTATTTTTGGAAGAAACCAACGTGGCTGGTCACATAGTGAAAGAATTCTTGAGTGACGGAGGCAAGGAATTCGATAACAAAATTGTTCATTCTATTTTGCAATCGAAAGGCATTAATTTTCGAATTGCAATGCCTTACACGCCAGAACAACATGGTACGTCAGAAAGAGAGAATCGAACATTGGTTGAAAGTGCCAGATCATTAATCCATGCTAAAAATTTGCCAGTTCGGTTGTGGGCAGAAGCAGTTAATACTTCAGCGTATATTTTGAATAGAACAGGAAATACTCCGGTGAAGAACAAAACCCCTTTCGAACTCTGGTTCGATAAAGAAGTAGTTCGAATTGACCACCTGCGAGTTTTCGGTACGAAGTGCTACGTGCATGTTCCAAAGCAACGTAGAAAGAAGTGGGACAAGAAGAGTACTCCTGGATATTTAGTAGGGTACTGTCATGAGAAAGATGGTTACAGGGTGTGGCTCTCAACAGAAAACAAGGTTGTTTTGAGCCATGATGTTGTTTTCGATAATGAGGAAGTTATACGGAAAATGCCAAATTTGATTGTCGAGTCCCCTTCTGAAAGAACGAGTGCTGAAAGCAGTGGAGAAAATGTGGATCTGTTGATTAAACTTCCTGTCAAGAGTGTTGGCCATGCACGAATAGAGGAAACAGATAGAAATGATGGAGAGATGTCAATATCAGGTGAAGCAAGTCGTGAGGAAATTTCTGAACAAATAGAGAAAATTTCTATGCATGAAGGTGAATCTGCTGGACAATCTGAAGAGGAACTTACAACGCGCAGACGGAAATGCCGGATACCCGAACATTTGAAAGATTTTGTTCTGATTGCTGAGCATAATATTCCTGATTCATATAATTCAGCTATATCATCAGAAGAGGCAGAGAAATGGAAATTGGCTATGGCTGATGAAATAGCTTCATTGCATGAAAATAGTACCTGGCATCTTGTGAATTTACCGCCTGACAAGAAAGCAATCAGTAACAAGTGGGTTTTTAAAATAAAAACGAAATCTGACGGATCCATAGAGCGTTACAAGGCAAGATTAGTTGTGAAGGGCTATTCGCAAAAGTCTGGAATAGACTACGACGAGACCTTCAGTCCTGTTGTTCGTTATGAAACAGTACGAACAATTCTCAGCGTAGCAGCTACTGAAAAGCTTCAACTCCATCAATTTGATGTCAAGACTGCCTTCTTATACGGTGAACTCCAAGAGGAAGTGTACATGAAGCAGCCAGAAGGTTTTGAAGACGGTAGCGAAAGAGTATGTCGATTAAACCGAAGTTTATATGGGTTAAAGCAGGCACCGCGCTGTTGGAACAAACGGTTCATGAATTTTCTAAAATCACAAGAAATGATCAACAGTACTGCTGATTCCTGTTTATTTATCCGTCTAAGAAACGAGAAGAAACTACTGATAGCAATATATGTCGACGATGGACTGGTCGCTGGAACTGACAATATTGAAATTTTGTCGTTCATTCAAGAGATGAAGAAACAGTTTCAAATAACCACTGGACATATAGATTGCTTTCTAGGAATGAGTATAACTCATTTGGAAGATAATTCTATTTTCATCAGTCAAACTAACTATGTTCACAAACTGTTAGAAACATTTAGAATGACTGATTGTAATGCTGTAACGACCCCATGTGAAAGAGATGGATCTGATGAGAATAAAGATGATCCAGTAAGTGCACATGTCCCTTATCGTGAAGTTGTGGGAAGTCTCATGTATTTGGCAAACATTACTCGTCCCGATATCACTTATGCAGTAAATGTTCTTGCTGAAACATTGAACAGTCCCAATGTGACAAATTGGAATTCAGCCAAACGTGTGTTGAAATATCTAAAGGGAACTGCATCATATGGATTATTGTACCAAGATAACAACACTTATGTGAAAGCTTATAGTGATGCAGACTACGCTGGTGATAGGATAACACGACGGTCAAGAAGTGGAGTAGTATGCCAGAATTCAGGAGCTGCTATAACATGGATGAGCCAGAAACAGCGTAGCGTTGTACTATCGACAACGGAAGCTGAATATGTTGCTGCTAGTGAGGGTGCTAAAGAAATAATTTGGCTGAAGAGACTTTTTGAAGAAATTTCGAAGGTCAAATTTACGCCCACACTATTTATGGATAATATGAGTGCTATCAAATTGGCTAAGAACCCGGAGTTCCATAAGCGCTCCAAGCACATTGCAGTGCGTTTTCACTTCGTACGTGAAAAGTATTTAGAAGGCTCAATAAAAATTGAACATGTTGATGGTTCGCATCAAGTTGCAGATATAATGACGAAACCACTAGGCCGTATTCGTTTTCAAGAACTCCGCAAGATGTTGGGTGTTGTTGAACGGAAATGATGATGTTTTATTTAGAGGAAGTGTTGAATATAAAGAAAAATCACCTTGTAGTTCAGTCGAAAATGAAAAATGTCAGAGTGACTGTTGTTATAATTCATGTAAACGTCTTTACTTTGTGCTTGTAATTCTTTATATAATAAAGCCACGATACATTTTTACGAAGTCCACGGTTGTAGTTTGTACTGTATACAAGGAGTAGCTTTATCAGAAACAATCGTCAAAAATTTAATCTACAGCATACCTTGTGTTTGTGGGACGTTTTATTCAGGTCAAACCATGAGACCTCTTTCAGTAAGGACAAAGGAATCGCTGGAAGGAACATGAATACAATATAAAGAAAAGACACATCGATAAATCGAAACTAGCTGATCATATCCTCACTGAAGATGGACATCATATGGCAGAGTGGAATAATATTAAAATCGTAGGGAAAGAAGATAACAACCAGAAGAGAAAAATACAGGAATCTGCTTGCATTCATCTGAACGGAGACAATAGCATTGATTCCTGTTCAGTTGATATAGATTGAACATGGTATTCACTACTGAAATCTGAAAATGAAAATGGTTAATTCAAGATTAATTGATGGAACCATCCTGTAACTCATTTGATTGCCAACGTCACCAATTGTCATTGAGAATTGAATAGTGTCAGGACAAATACGAATTTGCCATGAAAAAAATCAATTTTTATGTTGAAAACGGGAGCAGATTCGTTCCCGAAACGTCCAAAGATAAGTGAAAATTTTATATTTCCTCTATGTACCTTTATTTCTCTTCTCCAAACCTTTTTCAATACAAATTATCACTGACAAGCTAGTGAATTTTTTTATGCTAAATTCTTTAAACGCAGTGACATTTTGGGGCAAATCATCTGATTTGTCCTTACTACACGTATATTGAAATAGTATCCATATTTCTATTTTATAGAGACCAGAAGAGAAAATACCAAAAAAATCTGGAATAATGAACCCCAATATTTCTTCAACTATAACCGCTGGCAAATTGCATATTTTGTATTTCTGATATCGATATAGGAATATGAATGTCTTACTTTGTATGGCAATCTCAGAATTTTAGCATCCAAGGTAGAAGATTCCGTGTAGTAAAACTTATCTACAGTCGACATGTACGGAGTTTGTACTGTAACGAATTCATCCCCATGCGGGATGAAGAACTTTCCATTTCTAGAATTTTCCTTTGGAAATTGATATCGCCAAGAACCTCGGAAATACATAGCATTCGCTAGTACCATAACTGAATATTGTACATCCGCTGAAATATAAATACGAATCGATATACAGTGTGATACAATTTGCTCCAACCCACACCTGTAATTTCGTAACCCTAGATTATATTGGAAAACATATATTGAACACAATTTTTTGGCCTACACAAAAACTTCAGGAAAATTGAAGAAAACGAATTAGGTATTTCTTTACAAAAATTTTGATAATTACAATAGATTCGGATCGTCATTGGCATTGTTGAATAATATTTCGGGAAAGAGTCAGTCATAGGAATAATTGGATATTGTTACAATCAACACTTCACAGCAGTTCAATCAATCAGTTCATTAACTCACTCTCATTATCATAATACTAGTACAAATATAGACTATTGGTAGAATTCTCATTGAGTTATCAGTTTTATCCAAAAGAAAATAGCTCTCCTTAGATTAGAGAAACTGTCTAGAAGATAGAGCACGTTAATCGGTTCACTGAAAGGTGATTTCGAAGAAATTTGGGCAATATAGGTAACCAATAATTATTATTGGTTCATATACCATTCAACTGAATGACTATGGTAGACTCAATTAAATAAATCCAAAATAATGATGTCATAACCACTAACCACATGAGGCGATGAAGGCGACCGTTCGCTTACAAAGCTGTAACCAGTGGAGGAGCGAAGGAACATACGGACATTCTCGCCTCTGGAAGCAAATTACAGACGACTACCCCTCACTCAGTATGAAAGGGGACAGCATAACACCGAGCATTCGATTCAGGAAAATGCCCCAAGTCAAAATTCCTACTAGGATAGACTGGGAACAGAATGGGCACTGCATAATACCCACCAAGGGCATCATCTGGTACACAGATGGCTCCAGGATGGAAGAATGCGCAGGTGCTGGGGTCTATGGGCAGTCTCCAAGGGCAAATCATTACTATACCCTTGGGAATCACAGCCAGCAAATCACTATATGCACTGACAGCCAGGCGGCGTTCAAGGCGCTCACCTCGTATACGGTGACCTCCGCCTTGGTGTCAGAGTGCATAGATAGCCTACAAAGGCTGTCAGCAACGAACAAAGTATGACTTTTGTGGGTCCCTGGACACTCAGGGGTACCAGGTAACAAAATGGCCGATGGTCTGGCCAGAAAGGGGGCGAAGGGTTCAGTGATTGGCCCAGAGCCAATCTTAGGGGTCACTCGATCCTCGAGCAATTTCAAGATAAAGGAAATCCTGACGGAAAGGTTTCAGGACAGCTGGAGAAGGCTTATCGGTGGTAACGGAAAGGCTCCTCGAATGAGGCAGTCCAAACTCCGTATAGGAAACCCGTCACGAAGACAGACCAATGCCCTCTTGGCTTTGAACAGGAAGGAGCTGAAACTGGTGGTGGGCCTTCTGACAGGGCACTGCCACCTGAACAAACATCTCAGCATGATCGGGATTGTGGAGGATCCTGAATGCAGATGGTGCCTAGAGGATGAAGAGACTTCTACTCACATCCTCACTGAATGCCCGGCAGTAGTGGCAGCAAGGGATATCCATTTTGGGAGCAGTATCCTGGACCCAGAGGATGTTACAAAGATTTGGCCTAGAAAGTTGGTCTCTTTTGCTCGCGAGATCGGCCTTCCAGCAAATTTCAGGATCCTTACCCAACGATTACGTAAGATACAGGGGTGTCCCCATTAGAAATGGTTTACAATGTATAGCACGAAAATTGTTAAGTATACTTATAGTATTACTACTGAGTATGTTTGTTCTCGCCGTAAATTTCACATAGGCATACCAGGTGTAACTAAGGTAGAAATCCTCCCATTCGTCAATTTTTCTGCCCAAGAATTGATACTTTCACTGGCTTCCAGGGATTCATGAAAATTGGTAATTTCGATATCTGTTTTGAAAAAGTCCTTGGCAATACTGGCGAATCGTTGTTGTGGTTGTACTGAGGGATCCAGAAATATTCGAGTACCCATGTTGAAAACGTATTCATGGTTTTCAATGATCTGTAAAATATAGATAATTCACCAATATATAATTACTGAAACAGTTTCCAATGATTGTTTTAAGTCAAATTGACAAAAAAATTCACCATGTTTGTCGGTCTTAGGGATATCATATAGCTGCAAATGTCACTGAACAAACAAAATTCATAAAACGTACAACGATCACTTTCGAGAAAAATGCAAAAACACGTCAAATTGTTCTTTTTATTCCGCATCTTTTGACATAAGTTACAAAAATAACACGTGAAAGTTGTCAAAGTTATGAACTCATCAACAAATTTTTTCAATGGGAAGCTAAGATTCTTATCACATTATGTGATAGAGCTTGTGTTTTTACACAAGGGAAAAATAGTTGCAGTAGGGCTCACATTATGTAATGAAAATCTTAGCTTCCCATTAAAAAAATTTGTTGATGACGTCATAACTTTGACAACTTTGACGTGTTATTTTTGTAACCTATGTCAAAAGATGCGGAATAAAAAAAACAGTTTGACGTGTTTTTGCATTTTTTTCAAAAGTGATCGTTGTACGTTTTATGAATTTTGTGCATTACTTTATCATAACCCTGTATATTATTTCTACAACGAACGAACTGCATTCAGCTCATTAATGACTGAATATTTCCGTACCTGTAATTGAGACAAAACAGTACGATATTGCTCTCTAACAGTCTTTTGGTCTGTAAATTGTAACAGGCTTTCGAATTCTCTTTGGGTGATTCCACTGGATCCTTGATAAAGCAAAGCTAACAATATTTTCAGACTAGCAGGAGAAATCAGTATATTTCTATACTGTGTAGAGTATTCCTAAAACAAAGCAAATACTTCAGATGTAAATGAAACATTATAGTACAGTATGATGCAAATGTATGGAATAAATTCATTTTTTCAGAAATGGGCGACATTTGAAGAAATTCCAAAAACACGTGAGTTTTAATTTTTGAAGCCTCATCTCATGACATTCATATGAGAGATGTTACGTCACTGGTGTTGGAGTAATGACGTAATGGACGATTTTTTCAAATACAGAAAGGGGTCACGTGACACCTCGTTTGAAAGGTCTACCGATCGTCTATCCAACAGTCAAAATTGTGCATGATAAAATTGAAATTAAAATGGTTTATCATTCGGTTAACTGAATCTTGCAGAGGTCTGCTACTGAGAATTGAACATCGAAGGGTTGTCTAGTTGAAAAAATACACAATAAAAAAAGTTCTGAACTCTAATTTTTGGATTTTTTCCGGGAGTCGTCTTGTTTTGAAATGAATTTATTCCATACATTTGCATCATACTGTATGTTTTCTTCCAATTACCAGCCTTCTTGACGTCGGTATACAGGGTGTTCCTTAAAGACATGCTAATATTCAACGGGGTGATTCTTCAACGCATTAATAAAGTCCTAACTTCTGAGATACAGCGTGATAAAGTTTTGAAAAAAAAAACAGTTTTTTAATAATAACTGGAATAATACCCAGTAAACACACTCACGTCAAAAAAACGTAGTGAAATTACCACAACGGTCGGTTGAAATAACGTTCAATGGAATCTTTTCATCACGTTGAATCAACGCGAAAATGTCGCTGACATCCACGTTATTTTCAACCAGTACAAAAATGTATTTTCAACCACTGATTTCAACGTAAATATCTGTTTGAAACCGGTGGGAACTGCCCGGTTCTCAACGAAACTTTTCACGGGGAATAAACGTGGCATATCAACGTTTGAACGAGTTGAAAAAAAAATATATTTCAACTTTCACTTCGGATCAATTTTTAACCGACGAATTTTCGGTTTTTCGAACGTTTCTTCAACGTTTTAGTCAGATTATTTTTTTCGTTTTTTTTGTGTCTACAATCATTTTATCAACATTCTCATAATTACTATGATTATTTTTTTTACATGTCAAAATGTGACGTTTTCCTTGTTTCAACCAATATCAATGCGTGATTCTAGCCAATCATTCGGAATCATACTGATAATTTGTTAGTATCAAATTACCGCGATGACTTATTCACGTTTGGATCTTCCTTCAAATGGATACAAAAAGGGACCCATAGACTGCGATGTTGATAGGCTGTTTTGTTCGACTAACAAGTCTGTTCGAACAAAAATTGCGCACAACCGAAGTGTGTGGCTGTAAAATGTTCGTTTTCGCTGGCCACACACTTTAGTTTTGTGTCTTTTTTGTTCGAACAGACTTGTTCGACGAACAAAACGGCCTACCAACAACGCAGTCTATGGGGCACCTTTAGAGAATTAGCATTGACTTGACTTGGTTGTCAAGGTAACGCAGCTATTTGTCTCAATGTAAACATTTCGAATTCAGAACCGACGCCATTGTTAAGTATCAGTCAGACTTCGTATTTTGTGATTTTCTCTAACGTTTAAACGAGTTGGTATAGGTTCGGAAAAACTTTACAATTATTATTAGTCATTAACAGAAACCGACATGAGCACGAGATTTGGTCAAAGCTCGGCTGATTCAATACATTTAGCTGTCGAACAAGCAACACCAATCAACACCACAAAAAGCAAGAATACGATATGGAAACAGTTTTTGGAGTTCTGCCTTGAACGTAATTATGAGTTGACTGCAACAACCGAGATGAAACAAATCGCATCAATTATGGAGGACTGGGCATATAACATGCGAAAAAAAAATGGAGAAAACTACAAAGAATCTGTTGTCAAAACTTTGTGGAATGTCACCGCAAAACTTATCCAGGAAAAATATTTCAGGGAGTATAATAGAAACATTGATCCGTTCACTGATATTGAATTTAAGACCGCGCGAGATGCGCGGAATTGCAAACGTCGAGAACTTCAACATATTCCTGAAAAAAGAAAAGCATCTTCTGTTGCTCTCAAGAAAGAAGAAATAGAAAAAATGATAGCAGCATGGGACGAAAATACTCCAAATGGCTTACAAAGGAAGTTTTATCATACTGCTAGCTACGAATTGGCTTGGAGAGGCGGAGAAGCGACAAAAGCATTAGTACAGTATTTTAGAGAAGAAATGGATCATTATGGAAATCAAACTGGAAGGATAGAATATAATCCAATAATTTCTAAAACAGCACAAGGAGGATCGCACAGGTTATCTGATAGCAAATTTTTAACGCCAAATGAAAATGAGACTGAAAAATGTCCAGTACGTCTCTTTCGGAAGTTAATGTCGAAAAGAAGTGCAAATATTCAAATTGATCGTTTATTTTTAACACCTAATCCAAATTGGCAGCAACCTTTGTCTAAGGGGTGGTACAAAAATCTTCCGGTAGGACAAAATGAAATAGCAAAATGGACAAAACAAGCGGCCCGAAAGATTGGCTTGGATCCTAGCAAAATCAAGGTTACAAACCATTCACATCGTTCTTCTGCTGTGACACAACTCGCTAAAAGTGGAGTAAGTGAGCAGCAGTTGTTGAAGATAACTGGACATTCATCTGCAAGCTCCATCAAACCCTATCTTCAACTTGACAAAGAGCATCACGCAAGCATGATAAACAACTTGAGAGGAAACACTGTTTCGACCTCTTCATCTCAAGGAAATTGTACAATAACATACAATAATTGCACCATTACAAACGTAAATTGTAAACATTCTTGATTGTTTGATATATAATTATTTGATATATAATTGTTTGATATATAATTGTTTGATATATAATTGTTTGATATATAATTGTATATGATAAATGATTGTTCAATAAATAATTGTTTAATAAACATATTCTGGGGCATTTTGCGAAATAGTAAAAAAAATAATCACGCCGAATTACATTCGTGTTGGTTATTTTTTTAAATAATTTTAACTAGATTTAGCACTCGTCTTTGTTGCTATTGAGAAATCCCACTCGTGGACTTCGTCCACTCGTGAAATTTCTATAGCAACAAAGATTCGTGCATCTAGTTAAAATTATCAAAAAATTACCACCACTTGTGTAATTACTGTTGATAATTATTATTATACCTCACTAACCTGCTGTGTTGTCCATGTATTTCCCTTGCCTAAGCTGTTCCACTTTCTTCTTAGTGAGGTGCCTATCTCTCCGTATCCCTATTTGAATATGTTCGACTACTCGTATTTGTACCTAAACTCTTGGTGTGAGCGTCGGCGAGATGTAAACAGATTGAATACAAGTTATCTGATGACGATTAACTAACGTTGTTGGAAAACATATATTTCACGTTTTTTTTTTTGCTCTCAACGGTTATGAAATACTCTCAATGAAAAGTTTGATCAACGTTTATTTCAACAGTTCAATAAACGTTTCGAAAAAGCGTTAGTTCACCGTGAGAACTCTGCCGAAACAATGAAAAATAGTTTACCATGTGAAATACACGTTTTTGAATGACGGTACGGTTCTTAGACTCATGATTCTGAAAATTTGTAAAAATTTGTAGAAAAAGTGGAGGGAAAATGGGAACTCCAACTTGAAGATTTTCATCATCGTCAAACTTTCGGTTTTGTCAGGAGGTGAAGTCATTCTTGTTAATTCCAATAGGACACCTTGTTTTAGAGTTGATCGAATTTTTGCAGAGTAAGTGATAAATGTCAATCGAACATACGCCATTTTCATATGAATTGATCAAATGACGTATCAAGTAACTCAAAAGTTATAAATATGTGAATTTGAAACGTTGAAGTAAACAAGACATTGTTGTTTGAATCTATTATTTTCATAACGTTATAAACAGGTTATTTCTAGCAATTATCCTACCGTACATTGTGAATGTGTCGTTTTATTGAAATAGAATGACGGGTTGTTGCTTGAAAGTATCAATGTTTTATTTCAACGTTAAATAGTGGTTGTATATTAACAGAAAGTAATGAATTGTTGAGAGTAAGACATCTAAATAACGTGTTTATTCTTGGTCATCTTCAACCAAATTTCAACGTTGAAGTTTTCAACCCCTAACGCTATTTCCACGATTCCAACCGTTATTCAACGTTTTATCAACGAGTTTGTGTTTACTGGGTATTGTAGTTATCTTCATGAAATTTGGTACATACTTCCTATGCATCAAGGTGCATTTTCTTAAGTATACAAATTTTCCTTTCCTCCACCAGTGGCGCCGTTAGGGGAATATGATGGATTATACACCGTGTCCCAGCTAAAATGTTTCCCCCTGTAAAAAATCAACCGCGCGATCGAATGACTTGAAATTCGGTCACCCAGTATATTTGATGATGCTCACTGAAAATATGCTATTGAATGAATCGTAGGTATACAGGGTCACACCGAACTGCACCTAAACTTTTCTATTTGAATAGGGACACCCAGTGTATTATTCCATATTCAAGTAGAGTGCATTGATAAAAATTCAACAATGCCGGGTTTGATGGAATTTTTTCAAACGACTACGAAGATATGCCAAAAAATAAAACGATTCAATAAAAAATGTATACTATGATTAGATTTTATTAATATAACACGATTGAAATCGAATGAAAAGGTGATAATTAAAACCTCAACTGCTCATTATGTCGTCCATTCTGCTGCAAACATTTCCTAGCTCTTTTGATAACGTTCATTATTGTGACCCTATGTATCACGTTGCGATCAATTTGTGCGCATAAATTTGTGATTTTCTCTTTCATTTCTTCCATATTCACAATTGGCGACTCAAAAACCTGTTGTTTCAAGTAGCCCCACAAATAAAAATCGAGCGGGGTGAGGTCTGGCGACCGAGCTGGCCAGTTGCTATCACCATCGAGACAATTGGTGGTTATTAGATTTCAACTATTTTCTGTTCATTCGATTTCAATCGTGTTATATTGATAATATCTAGTTGAATAAATTTTTTATTGAATCGTTTAATTTTTTGCCATATCTTCGTAGTCGTTTGAAAAAGTCCCATCAAACCTGGCATTGTTGAATTTGTAATAAAGAACTCTACTTGAATATGGAATTATATACTGGGTGTCCCTATTCAAATAAGAAAGTTGAGATGCACTTTGGTGTGACCCTACGATTTATTCAATAGCATATTTCGAGTGAGCATCATCAAATATACTGGGTGACCAAATTTCAAGTCATTCGATCGCGCGGTTGATTTTTTACAGGGGGGAGCAATTTTAGCTGGGACACGGTGTATAATACTCGAAAGTGAGCAACGAAGGAATATTTCCGAATTCAATAAAATTCTATCAAAAGTCATTTAATTTTGTACAAAGAAAAAATCCTCTTCTTGGTACCCGACAGGACGCTCCGTTTTTGAGAAAAAAGGAAAAAACGAGTTCAAACTCCGAATTTTGATGTAAATGCTAAGCTTGAGTACTTCATTCAGGACAGCTTTTACTGGATAACCACAGTATGTAACATAACATTTGAAATTCTTGCACAATCACATAGCAGAATAAATTCTGCCGTCAGGAAAAGCTATACAGGGTGGACAAAAAAAGAATCTATGCATGTATATGTTCAACTTTGAAACCCTGTATGAAGTTTTATTCTTGAAATGGGTCCAAGAATCGTCACCTTGTATGTTAGCATGTCATTAAGGAACTCCTTGTATAATATAGTCATTGTGTTTTACCTTCAAGAGTTTCCAGTCGAAAGTATCCGACCAATTTGCATTAGGATAGTAAACATCGTCAAATGGAAAGCCAGGTGTTGTCAGATCACCCGCATGTACTATCAATCCTAAGCATACCACTACAAAACCAAGATTATAGAAATTAATCAGTTCAACAAAAAATTTTATAAATAAATAAATAATTGATGAGCTTGAGATATGGAATGACAACAATTTATGCATTTGGAAAACCCCACAGTTATACTTTTTTTCTCAGTGAATTAATTAAAGTACCGTCATATCAAGGATAAAATTGATGTATACTGGGTGACACAGGAGACATATAACAGCTTGTAGTTTCTTTATTTTGAGAGATTCAAATTTGAAATTCACAAGGGTTATATTATCGATGATGGCGCTATCCTTGAACCCAATGACAATTTTCTTCAACCACCTGTTTGACCGGAAGTAGACCCAACATTTTTTTTCATTGGCACCCTGTATATTTCTGTAGCCTATCTTATTTGCCTTGAAATTCTCTATTCAACTATGCATCACAATTTGATATTCGTTCATTAATTGGCTGTCAAGTTGCATTTTATTGAAATACATGAAGTTGACTGTGGACGGAATACAATTACATTTCGATGCATGAGAGGCTCAGAAATCCAAAGATGAACTCAGACGATCTAATCAAGATATTTTCCATACCCTTATCGGTCCCAAAAAATTGCAATTCAATGAATAATTGTCAAACTAGACATTTTGTGTTAACCGCCTACTAAGCGAAATGATACTGAAAATACACTAATGTAGACTTATGAACAGATGTATTGGGACGATACATCAATTATCACAACAATTTCAGTTTTATTTATCCAAATCGATGATCATATCATGGCTACATGGCAAAAATGAAAGAGAAATAGTTTCTCCACAAGTAGCCAAATGAAAAAAACTGAGTTTCTATATAAGTTTTCTTAATATCGTGAGTTATTTTCGGATGATTTTTTTGAAGTCAAGAAATTATTGGCAATCTTCTGGGACCGATAAGGGTATGGAAAATATTCTGAAAATATCGTCTAAGTAATGATCTTTGGATTTCTGACCCTATCAAGCATCGAAATGTCATTTTATTCGGGCCACAGCCAACTTCATGTATTTCAGTAAAATGCAATTTAACAGCCAATTAGAGAACGAGTATCAAATTATGATACATAGTTGAATAGATAATTTGAAGGCGAATAAGATAGGCTACAGAAATATACAGGGTGCCATTTGAAATAAAAAGTCAGGTCTAGTTCCAATCAAACAGGTGGTTGAAGAAAATTGTCATTGGGTTCAAGGGAAGTGCCATCATCGATTTCATAACACTTGTGAATTTCAAATTGTTATCTCTCCAAATAAAAAAACTACAGGCTGTTACATGTCAACATTAATTTCGAAAATATTTTTGAAAATGAAGAATTTATTTTGGTTTTACTATCAAGCCTTATATCAAGACCGTGGATATTCATTTCACAGCAATTTTTAGTCAATCATTTATAGAAACAATCTGCCATAAAACATTACAAAATTATTATTTCAAGAGAATGAGGTCAATGGTAGGTACTATTTCCGATATTCTCATGATAAAAATCCTTAATTTATGTTGAGTTTTCACCTTCAATGCCTCGAAATAAACTGGTCAACATTGATAACGTCGTGCTCCAAAATATAGCCTGAGTTCAAAGTAGAATAACTCACGAATTTCCTCACCAATTTGAAATCGGTTTTCACCGATGATTAGCCTAATCTCTTGACAGTTTGTTGTGGCAATATGAAACTTCTGTAATCTCAGATAACATTGCTACAGGGTGATAATTGAATGGGTGTGAAATTGCATCGTGGTCGTCACCTTACCGTTTGAACAGATAATTTTTTAAATTTTTTTTCTCACCTGTATCCTCTTAATTGATGCTTTCTCTCGAAACACTTCCGTTATTTTCAAATTCAGAGCTTTGATAATCGTGTTATGAATATTCATTCAGAATGATGCATTTTTCCGACGATCAATTGAATGAAATTGAAAGTTGGAATTCTTCTCCGAAGAATCAACGAGAATTATGTATATTGGTCGGATATGTGATCGTGTTCGAACACAGAAAATTCTGAAAAAGTCTATACAAAGTGATACAAGAAATACTGAATGATGGAATGGAGAATAACGTAGTCTTCAGTAGATGAAACATAATTTTCTCTGCATGTGTTTCTAGTGGAATAATGGAGTGTTACTTCGTCATAAGGATGTCTGGTGTTCTGACCTCGAAATTGTTTTGTAATTTTTTGGATCGAAGGTCATGTAATGAAAGTACGCATTTTCAATCGAAATGATGCATTTTCGTTAAGATAAATTATAAAATTCAAAAAACTACGATTTTAGTTCCAGAAGTATGAAATTCATATTTATTCTCGACGATGGATATACAAGGTGCGATAAAAAATATGCCCAGATTGTCCCTGGATGAAGAAGGATATGTTTAAACGTGATGAAAATCGCTATGTTCCGAAAAAGCAATATAGTGGCGGTCATTGTCGAAATTTGTGAAATGTATAAATTCAGTAACTTTTCATTAGGTTTATACGAGGAAATATAAAAGAGACTACAGAATTGCCATATATTTGATATAATGTTTTTCATATACTAATGAAGATGAATACAGTAACTTCTCATGAGGCTTATACGAGGTAATATGAACGAGACTCTGCAATTAGGATTTTTTCGACGTGAGAAAACATAATAGCAATAATTGTGAGTATAAGTTTGAAAATCTATATTTTTTTCAACGGAATTCGTCAAATCTATAGCATCAAGTGAGATATTATAAATTCCGCCTTATGAATCACCCTGTGAAAAAGATGGCGCAGAAATGAGCATTCAAGAGTTATTCTATGTCCATTCAACTTCATACAGAGTGACAATGAGGAAATTTTCCATCGGAAGACCATGTTGTAGGTGCTAGATCAGTATAAGATGCAATGGTAACAAGTATGCACGAATATATGGCAATTTTGAAGTCTCTTGCGTATTACCTCGAATAAGCCTCATGAGGACTTCCTGTATTTATGTTCACCAGTATGAAAATATTTAATCGAATCTGTGGCAGTCTCTTTCATATTTCCTTGTATAAACCTCAGGAAAAGTTACTATACTTATTCATTTCACAATTTTCGACAATGACCGACATTATATTTCTTTTTCAGAACATAGCGATTTTCTTCACGTTCAAACATATTCTTCTTCATCCCAGGACAATCTGGACATATTTTTATCCCACCTTGTTTATCCATCGTCAAGAATAAATATGAATTTCATACTTCTGGAACTACAATCGTAATTTTTTGAATTTTATAATTTATCCTAACGAAAATGCATCATTTTGATTAAAAATGCGTACTTTCATTATATGTACTTCGATCCAAGAAATTACAAAACCATTTCGAGGTCAGACACCAGACATCCTCATGACGAAGTAACACTCCATTATTCCACTAGTAACACAGAGAATTATGTTTCATCTACTGAAGACTACGTAATTCTCCATTCCATCATTCAGTATTTCTTGTATCACTTTGTATAGACTTTTCCAGAATTTTCTGTGTTCGAACACGATCACATATCCGACGTCTATACATACAATGTTGATTCTTCGGAGAAGAAATCCAACTCTCAATTTCATTCAATTAATCGTCGAAAAAATGCATCATTCTGAATGGATATTCATAACACGATTATAAAAGCTCTGAATTTGGAAATTCCGAAAACGTCTCGAGAGAAAGCATCAATCAAGAGAATACAGATTACAGGTGAGAAAAAAAAATAATTATCTGTTCAAACGGTAAGGTGACGACCACGATGCAATTTTACACCTATTCAATTATCAACCTGTAGCAATGTTATCTGAAATTACAGAAGTTTCATATTGCCACAACAAACTGTCAAGAGATTAGGCTAATCATCGGTAAAAACCTATTTCAAATTGGTGAGGAAATTCGTGAATTATTCTACTTTGAATTCAGGTTATATTTTGGAGCACGACGTTATCAATGTCGACCAGTTTATATTGAGTTTCAGTTTGACTAGATGAGATGCTATCCATTCAAAAAAAATCTAGAAACTTGTATTCATCACCTTCCAAGGAAGATTTTCAAGAAAACAGTCTCATAGCCCACTACCCTGTTAAAAAATTGTGAAGACAATAATGATAAGAGGCAACAATGAAAAAATAATAAGTACTTTCATACCAACCTAAGGCAAAAGACACGAACATTCTGCTGGACTAATATTCACTAAACTGGTCATTTATTTATGTTTTGATGATGATTGCTGACCTAAAACTCTAACTTTATAACTCGTTTGGGCACTTTTGGTTTTGTGATAATCGCCAGTGTTCGGAATCTCCGTATTATTATTATTATTATCTCATCGACGTTATTTCGATAAAATCATCATCTCGTTGAAGTTATAAACACCAGTGGCAATGAATTCTAGATTGATATTGATGCTTCGAAAAATCCCGAATACACGCTTCGCTATTGCCTAGTTGATTGCATCAGTGGGAATTTCCCGCAATCACACAGAACCGTATCGAAAAAAAGTTCCCCAGAACTTGCGGCAAAATTACGTTGTTGGGTTTTTTTATCTTTTGGTGCGCACGAATAAGAATTTTTGTTGTTGTTGTTCTAAAATTGTTCTATCCGTCATTCGGTTGCCCCCTTACGAGCAACCCTCAGAAGTCTTCGAGAGTCTTGTGCGAGCAAGGAATGACGGGGGCCTTACCTTTTAACGTGTGATCCCAAACACTTTCTTGGGCCATCAGAAAAATGTCTGCAGTCGACGGGACTCGAACCCACGACCGGCAAGCGAATGCGGATTAGAATATTGACACTCTGTCCGCACGGCTACCTGGCTGCGATTTTCCTAAATATACTGCATGCTAGCACAAACCACGCCCACCATAATACGTCATATCTCCTCCAAACATTACCGATATACTCGGAGTCAGCACATCGCACTAAAATATACTGTGCTCCAACGCAGGAATACACTTTTTATGATTTTGACACGAATTCGACTGAAGCTCTCTCGTTGTCAATCTCTTGTACGCAGTAATTTCATACACCCAAATGGTCTACTGGTTAGCGCTGTCGACTCTCAGTCTGAAGGTCCATGGTTCGAATCGCTGTGAACTTGAACTTTTTTTGCAATTTTTTTTTTCACCAATGTTTTTTTACTTCATTCTGGTTTTCCTTTTTCATAAAATATTTGAAGTCAAATAGGTTAGTGCGTTTAGGATAAACAGTCTCATTTTATTCAATTTTGTTGAAAAACTCAACTTTTGAAATATATTATTAATCAATGTGTTTCTACACTCCATTCGGTTTTCCTTCCTCAAAAATATTGCAATCAGGGATAGGTTAGTTCGTTGAGGATAAATAGTCTCTGAGTTTTGCCTAAGTAAAGAACTTTGAAGATGAGATATAACGGTGGGCGTGGTTTGTGCTAGCGTACAGTATATTTAGTAAATACGCTACCTGGCTACCTACCTACGATGTTTATTTATTTATTTATTTATTTATTTATAAATAATTCATCCAAACAGATTGAAAACCACTTACTGGAGTATATAACAATGAGTTTTGTGATAATATTGGTGTGCAAATGTTCACTACTTAATAATTAATTCGAAGTTTGTAGAAACAAAATTTTTCTAAATTGTGCTAGCGAAACGGAAAAAATGTCAACGTTTTTTAACTGTCTACATATATTAAACAAAGGACTATGATGGAAGGAATTTGGTACATCTTAATGAAAGGTTATGTTCGATCTCGAAGTAATTCGTGGTACATAGAAATTAATCAATGATAGTAATTCTGATGAGTCGATGAGATTGTGGACGATTTTGTGAAGAAATGTAAGGTTGGAGATCTCTCTACGCTTTCTCAAAGTTGTCAGCTTGAATTCGTCTGATAGTAGCTGGTGATCATAATGATGTTAGGAGAACAACGTGCGTTCTTAGGGAGGATTGTGAGAGGAAGTAGGTATTATCGGATTTTTGCATTTTTGAAAAGTCTTTTTTTTTATTATTATAATGATGTATCACTCAATATGATCGAATCTTTCCTGTTGATCGAAATTGGCAAAAACACATTTTTGCGAAGAGTGCTTTGGAAAGAACGCCAACAGTCTTGTTTAACAAACTGAATTTTGACAGTTCAATTGAATATGCGAACTGACTGTTGAATTCTTAAGCTCATATCCACATAACGCAATAAGGGTTGCCGAGTGTCTCTCAGATATGTTCCCTGACAAGGTAATTTCCGCAACAACGGAGACGGCCAGCGCGATCACCTGATCTCTCTCCGCTGGATTATTATTTATTGAGAATTATGGAAGATATGATTTTCAAAACTGTACCGATCGATATTGATGTGCTGAGAGAACCATAATCCAGGACTAAGATAAGAAGACGGGACATCTCGAGAGCAATTCAGCATCTGAAGAAATGCGTAGAATTGTGTTTAGACTTTGTTTTGTTATGCGAAGAATGCACTGCTAGCTCATTAGGTCGTTCCTAATTCAAAACCATAGTTTTTGAGTAGATGAGCTTGACGAAAATGTGAACGTTCCAGATCCAAATTCAAATAAACTGTCTAAATTCAGCTTGTTAAACAAAACAATTGGCGTTTTTTCCAAATCACTCTTCGCAAAAATGATTTTTTGTCAATTTTGATGAACAGGAAAGTTTCGATCATATCGTGTGATACATTATAGTAATCAGAAAAAAAAACTTTCCAAAAATGCAAAAATCCAACATGGCACCCATAAGAAGAAACAAAGTTGAGTGTTGTAACCTTGACATCAAGAACTTCAGATTCAGATTCCTTGTAAAAAAGTGTCTTGAGAATGTTCTAGTGAGAAACGTCTAGGCCCTTTGGTTTTCGCTTGAAATAATAAAAACGTAAATTACAATTTTTCGTTTTCTTCGAATAATTCATAAACTAAAAATGACACATCAAATGTTTTTGCAGATTAATTTTCAGAATAATTTTTCTTATGTTCTGGTTTCCACGAGAAGGGATATCCTGTAATGTTCAGAGAACATCGTGAGAACCATGGGAAATAGGGTAGGAATTGGTGTTTTCAAATTTCTGGAGGTTATATGCCTCGGGGAACACCTCCCTCGCTGTTGATTTGGATGAACGAGTACTTGGAAAGAGATGTTCTGCAGGTCTCCAAAGTGACCACGGAGGGGTGCGAAGCCTCAACTCGACGGGTTAATCTCGCGGGGACTGCCAAGGGAGGAACAATTGTTGATATTTCAGAAGAGCATCGTTCATGAAAATATCTATAAAATAGAGCCAGATCGCCAACTTTTCTACGGTGTTCCAGAGAAGTGAGTGAGTTTGTGAGCGAGGCATCACCAACTAGACGAATTGCCCTTTTTATGCATTATGTATCGTACCCTTTCAGTAAGGACAACTAATTGATCCGACCATCTTATATGCTGATCAATCATAATACCTAAATATTTGATAATTTCTTTACACAACGTCAATTCATATATTCATAGATTATAAATTCTGAAAAAAAAAACAAGGCAAAGTACCTGAGATATATCTTGCCTGTCTACTATTCGGGTCCTGACCTGTCCCTTTCATATTAATTATCTCACAACTTTTAATTCTTTTCATGTCAACAGTGCATTGACTATTAATGAAATTGCAATGTGAAATATCACGGTTTATTGGCCTCTGAAACCCAATTATGATGAAAACCAACAATACTGATGAAATAAAAAAATCATCCCATTGCATTCGTCATGCTTCTGTCAGAGATATAATCTCTGCTTCTGTGAACGAAGATCACAAGGATTGCAGGAAATGTTTGATGAATTACGTTTTTCACAATTAATATGATGATGGACTATATTGCTAAATTCGAAATGCATTCAATCATGTGGTGCAATGAACTTCTACTACTAGCTCTAAAGAACACCATTGTTTGTGCTATTTTCAGCCATGGTCAATAATAAAATTCATCACAAACTATTTTTTTCAGAGTATTTCAGAGGAGTTCATCAACACAAAAAACCGATTCCTCAAAAAGAGTTTGAACTTTTTTATAAAAATCTCTCGAAAAATCACACTTTTGACACAGTTTTAAATAACACTCTGTATAACGTATCTACTTGGTTTATACGGATTAAAACATAGACCAACCTGTATAAAATGTATGGGTTCTATCGCTGTGAAGAAGTTTCTATTTCCAGAAACAGGCACTATAACAGTGCGATCCTCCCCACTAAGCAAAGTTGGAAGCTATGTTGATGCATTGTTGAAGCAATTATTACTGATACGGAAGTTCAGCAATATTGCAAAAGTGGAGTTTGATAACGTAGCGTTGCAGCAATATTACATGTTGCTGTGACATTGCTGGAACGTTACAATAATAAACTTCACTTTTGCAATATTGCTGAACGTCCGTTCCACTAATTGCTACAACTTTGCATCAACAGAGCTCCCAAATTTGTCTTGTGGGCATCATCAGTGCTCCTAACCTAACTAACATCTACAAAGAACAAACAGGTAGTTTCCAGAAGCAGAGTATATTTATGTACCGCAGATGACACTCACGTATTCTCAAAGAGGTCCAATACACAAAGGAACTGAATGAAGAAGTGCCATATCAATGACACATATATAATTTGATCTTCTAGAAGTGATGGTGAATGTTCAGAAAATCAACTCATTCACGCCGAAGCTGTCATCTATACGTATGAGACTAGATGATATCTGTATATTCGATCAACATAATTCGCGAGATTCACGAAGTGAGCGACATCTAGGTTACATAATACGAACTTCAAACTGGGGGAAAACAAACTGTTGTCTATGGATAAAGTGTATAGACTACATTGCAGTACCTATAGTCAAACTTGTCAATGACTGGCACTGTTCGTAGTGATGATGGTTGAGTTGGTTAATTTTTTCACATTATTACATTTTTATTAGCTCAGTGAACAGTGAACGGGTGAAAAATTGGAGATAGTTCAAACAATTCAAACTAATTATGACGAGCAAATCAATTGACATATAAAAAAACAGCTACAACATGTTTACAATACCCAGATTGTCCTGCTTTGCATGAACAAATACGAATCCATTGTTCTACAGGAGTTCATCTGGACCCCAACTTCAATTTTACTCCATGTGGGGAAGATTTTCTTGCCGAAGTTTGAAAGTTTGAAAAAGTGCAAAAATGTGCCTTTTGTTGAAGTCTTCTGCCTCACACAAAATCACATGATTATCACGGAGAACTGCTTCTCCTTCCACTACTAGTCGGCTTTTTCCATCTAAATAGAGCAAAATATCTCCCAAAAGAACATCTACAACAGGCATTATTAGCGATCGAATATTGACAATTAATGTCAAGAAATTCAAAAACATCACTCTTATCAATACACAGTATACATAAGCAAA